TCTGGATAGTGGCTGCCGGTCAGTGTCCAGAATAGTAGATTGATTTTACATTATATAAGATAGTTTTCTGCCATTTATTCATTTTTTTCCCCTTTTGATCATGAGGTGCCTTTTTCAAGACTATCCCTCACTTCTCTAACACATTCCTTTGCCACTTAATGCTGTGGCCTTAGCAACTCTGGAAATTGAAAAGATTTTTTTTTCACTGTATTTTCCCTCCTCCTCTGTATGGTCTTCTTGCTGTGATGATCTCGATATACCCCTTATTGTAGAAGACTTATGTTGTACACATATGTACACTTATTTGGAAACAAGTCCTACATGCTTAAGAAGGTGTGCCTCTGGTTAGGCATGAATGGAATGGTTATTTACAAATAATTGTAAAACTATTGTATACACTGAAGTCATCTTTGAAAACCATGTGAATTTGGTAACAGGATTTGCATGCTTTTCTGTACTGATTCTAGCATGAGAAGCAGTATCATATAAGGGGCTGGACTGGGTGTTCTTCAGTTCATTTTATCTCCAGAAATACTCAGTGAAGTAAGCTAGGCTGAGAGGTAATGACTGGCTGTACATCACCAGTGAGCTCTATCCTCTAGTAGGGACTTGAACCTGAGTTTCTTCAGTGCCAGTTCAACACTTTAACAAGTGTGCTACATTGGTTCCTTTAAGTAAGTTAAATTGTATTCCTGTTGTATTGCACATAATAATAATTTTAAAGTTTTTTTTTAATGTGAACCTCAAAGTCCATTAGTTTACGCATAAAAATAACTCTATAATGTTACAAAAACTTTTAAAAAGCATTTCCCCCCCCCTTTTTTTATTACAGAAACAGGTTCTCCGATAACAGCTTCCTGCATTGGCTTAGGAAACTCTTTAACACCTCCTCCAGGACAGACAGGAAAATTGGTACCAGGATACAATGGTAAATTTGCAAAGTAGATGCTTCTAAAATATAATGTGTGTTGTGTATGTGTGTGTTTCTTTCTTTTTAACCACTCAGTTCCTGACAAAAAGGAACAAGTAAACAATCTTTAAAGCTTAAGTGTTGCTGTTTTGACAATTCAGAACCAACCAAACTTTGATCTTTTTTTAAACTAATTCAGCATTCCTGTTCTGTAGCAATATCTCAAAGTTGAAAGAAACCCTGCCAAATATGTCTTCATAGAATATATTTATGGATTGTAGCATGGATCAATTGTTTCCTAAAGCTGCAGTAACCTGTATTCACTCTGACAAAAAGGCACAACACTGTAATGTGGACTGTTATTACTTCATTTTTTGCTTGGACGTCTTTAGAATATCTCAACCCCTATAGGTCACCATATGTGGCTTTCTGTTCTGTAGCACAAATGCCCAAGAGAATCACTTATGCATTGAATTGTATGGGCCAGAATGAATGAAAGTCAAACATTTAATCTATACACAAACTGCCACACAGAGATTAAACTGCTTGTGGGCCAGGAAAACGTTATAGCAAGTTAGACCAGAGTTTCAGATACCTCTTGGGGATCTGTCTGAGAGAATGGATCTTGTTGGTTATAATGAAATCGTGGCAACTGCTGTGCATTCCATGGGTGTTCTTGACATATTCTGAACAGGATACTTTATAGTTGTTGGATTTCTGTATGCCTATTGTAGTATCTGCACTAACACATGCAAGAAATCTTAATATGGAGAAGCCTCTGAGCTGGTATTTGCATATTCACAGTGTATCCATGTGGTAGCCTCCATAAATATGTTTCATGATTCAGAAAATCTCTGTTGAACTTAGCTAGAGTTCAACTACTTTATCAGGAAGACTATCTTTTATGAACCAGACATGAAAAGACACTAGCTGCTGCTACTTTGAATGACAAGTAAAGAAAGAATAGAACATGTGCAATCAAAATTAAGGATGTTGAACAGGAGTTTCATAATTTAGTATTGTGGTTTCACTTTAAACCCCAAGACATATCTTCTCTTGAAATATAATTAAAGCTAAAATTCTGAAATGTAATGCAGGCTGTTTCACTTGGACATGAATAAGATGTATTCAGTTAACTGAAAAATAGTTAACTGTGTTTATATAAAAGATGGATGGAGGAAAATGCTTTTAAAAATTATATATTCCCTTTTCCTATTTGAATAACATGAACAGTAATGATGAAGCAAAGAGAAATTCATACATAACTATGGCAAATGACCCATGTTTATTAACCCAGGAATAGATATCATCTTGTCCATTTCCACCTCCTCTTCATCTTTCATTACATATAAGATACTCAGGACTGTAAATTTTGGAAACAAACAAACAACACCTTTCATTCCATTTAACTTTCTGAAATTGGTTAACCTTGAAATATTTCTATTTTAATTTAAATGGAAAGTATTATCCTTGTATTTGTGACTTCTTGTGATGCCTTTTTGTTTTAGTTAAGATTCTGGATGACAACAAGCAACCTGCAAAAGTGAAGACTTTAGGAAACATTGTGGTGAAGTAAGCAATCCATGACTTCCCAGACATTTACAACTAAGCAGCATAATAAGATGGAGGGAATGAGAATGTATCCAGAGTGGACAGTTGAAGAATAATCAATAACCCTAACCCTAACCCTAATCAATATCAGGTCTGCTGATAGGATATTGTAATGTTGATCTGATGCAATGTTCATGTCTGTTTGCCAAGAAAAGACAACCTCCATTTAAGGAAAAAAAACCCCATAATTGAAATAGAAAGCCTATATACTCAAAGATAGAACTGTACTCTGAAAAACATTAATTATTAGAGGTAAATGTAGCCTCTGATCATAAAATCTAGGCTATTAAGTGTTGATTTAAAGATAGATGCTTAAAGCTAGCATATAAAATATTTTGTTTCATTACTTTTAAGTATTGTAGGCCAGAATCCCTTCCTGCTTACTTATGAACAATGCATTAAGTGTAGTCAATAGGGCTTACAGTTTTCTGTGAAGCACGTTATATATAAGCTAGCTCAACCTGTTTCTTTGGGGCATAATTATGTTTTTTTCCAATATTTAGTTATGAATTGTATAATTTGATATCTTGATAATTGCACAGAAACAGCTCCACATGATTAAAAGGAAGTGGGGCTACATCCCTGGCCCTGCCGTGATCATGCAACGGACATATATAGGCCTATGTAGGAACTAGTGTTACAAATTTTTCCTTAAAAATCTTAATCACCCTTGTATATTTATCCCACGTATGGACAGCCATTCACATCTACAGTATAGTAGGCATGTGTCACTGGCTTTTTCTACTTGCTATGTTGTGGAACATACAACTCACTTAGCAGATTGGAATGAGTGTCTTGCATTTGCCAGAAGCACAGCTTGGGTAGGCAGTGAGATTTTATGCAGAGAACATACACACACTTGCACACAGTGGGGTATCTATCCCTAATTCTCCTTTTTAGCATTCTCAGATTTCAATTTATAGGCAGCTAAAATGTGTGCAGTGAGTAGCAAGTATACTGAATTTCAGCAACGATAAAGCTTTCGTGATTTAACAAGATAGATGCCCATACTCTCAGATGCACTCCTGCCCATACTCCTCTCTCTCTCTTTTCATTCATTCTTATTCCCTCAGCGCACAATGCAGTGCCAGTCTGAGAGAAAGGGGTAGGGTGTGCCTGGAGAAAGAATCCTCTGCTGAGGCTTTGTTTCCGACTCTGTTATAGTTTGCTAGTTGCTGGAGGAAAGAACTTTGAAAGTTCATCTTATGCAACTTTCTTGGCTGATTTCCTTGTTCCTCAGGTGTCTGCTTTTTCTCCCCATTCCACCTTTGGAATGAATAAGTGATGTGCTTGCCTTCAGATAATGGTGTGTTTAGGCCTCTTATTGTCTCAGTCTTAAAGTGCTGACCCTAGCCTTTTTAGAGAGATCTTTTAAAATTTTGTAACACTGGAATTTCATATAGAAAATTATATTTCATTGCTCAACACATTTAACTTGGAGCAGCCAGGAAAACCCTTGATTGCTGCCAGTGATATGTTCTATTACAATTTTTAACAAATGGGTCCCATTCATGTGTAACATGTAGGGATGTGCATAACTGATGAATACAGGAATGGAATGTCCCAGAGAACTCTGGAATGTTCTGTTGCCCCCCAGGGCTATGCTGAATCTCTGGACATTGCCATTCTGGGGGACAGTTGGGCAGTTTCCAGAATTAAATCTTATGAACCAAAAGAGGTTCATGGTGTCCCAGATATAGCATTCTGAAGAAAACAGATGTATTTTGAGGCTGAACAAGCTCTGAGACACCTTGAACTGCTTCCAGTTCAGGAGATTTGTTTCCAGAAAGCACCTCCCTCAAGAGCAGCATGGTCCTGACTTTGTTTGCCATGATCTGTTTTCTTCCTTTTTACCTATGTAAGCTGCCCAGAGTCATTTGGGAATCTATCAGATCAAATCAGAGGGAAGGGATTATTTTGGACCTAATCCTGTATCACTGAGTTCTGCACATCTCTTGTAAAATGAGTGAAGGGATATCACAGACTCAGTAAAATATTAGACTTAAAGTCCTGGAGAGAATCTAGTTTCTAATTCTAATTTGTCTAATTCTAATTCTAATTTGTCATCTCCCTCAGTTATTTTCCTAACAAATACACAATCCTGTTTTGTATTACCATGCTATGTTCTGTGTAGCAGATGAGAATCTTCTAATCTAGAAGGTTTTAACCATCCATACATCTTGTGCACAGTTGAACCATTGATTGGACTTCTTGTTTTCTTTTCTGCATTCCACTGTTTTCAGTTTCTGCTGCTTCTGATTATGATTTCACTAAACCTCTGCTGTGTATAATATGTCATTTGGAATTTTTTGGCTGATTTACAGGTACTGCTGGAGCTGATTATTTTTTTATAGAGCTGCACATTCTTCAGAGTTATTAAGAAGTGCTTTGGACTTCCTGAAAGCACAGCTTCTCTCCTAATTAAAGCAGTTATTCTTTCTTAGATTTCTGCATGAGTTGATACATTCTATCATTTTTCCTTTTTTATGCATTTCCATTACAATATTCTGAAAATTCTGCAGTATTTTGTAGAATGTAATGGGTGAACCCTAAGTTGCAAACTCAGCATTTATGGCTGCTTTGCATGTTATTTTTTTTGACTAGTGTATATAAAACATGGACATCATTACATCAAGTGGTAGTATATGTACATACCTTAGTTAATTAATAAGAAAAATTCATACCTTCATAATAGCATTTCATTTCCCAGTGGTGGAGAATGTGATTTTCTCCTAATCACAACATGCAAAATATTTTGATTACTTATTTTGACTGGAATATATCTATATCTATCTATATCTATATCTATATCTGTACATGCAAAATATATTTAGGTCTTACAGTTGTTTGTTAAACACAACCAGTAATTATATTAAATTGTATTATTTTTAAAGATAATACAGTACTTGTAAGAAGTAGTATAGAGTATATTGTGAGCAAGATAGATCCAGAAGCCATAATTTATTTGAGAGTGCATTTTGATCGATATACTGAACAGTTCACAAGCCAGTCAGAAGAATGTGCACTTGCTTGATGTTAGTTTTCATACTTTTAATATATGCAAAGGTTACTGTATTTATGCCACAATAATCAAACTAGCTCATTTATTAAATGCCATGGAAAAGTTAACAATGATGAGCCACAAATATTTGGTGAATAGACCCAAGATAGAATAAGAAACATTCACTGAACTTCACTGAAAAATCTGTGGATCTTTATTTGACTTTCAGCAGATGTTATGTACCAATTCCAGATAAACTACTTTAAAATACCCTCACAAATTCTTATATTTTCCATTTATTTATGCGTATCTGTTGCAAGCCACCAGATGGAATTCATCTAACACCTGTTATGTTGCTGTGCTACATATCAACTTTTGGAATTCATATGAATATGTTTGTGTTCTTAGCTGTGAGAGCCCTACTTTATAGTTAAACTGAAAGCAGGACAGAAATGGAAAAAGTTCTAGGAAATCATCAAGGGCTACCAGTGGGAATTGCCCTTCCTTCTCTAACAAGGACTTTTTGGATAGTTAAATAAATCAAAAGCACAACTTGTTATCAGTCATATATTACAATAAAGCATACAAGGTAGCTTTAATTTTCTAATGTTTTCTTTTTTAAATGTGTGTATTGAAATGGTATAAAAATATACAAAATTATATTCACAAAACTACTGAATTTGCTAAACGGAAGTTAGAAGTTAAGGTTTAGTATAGGTTTGGCATCCTCCACAGCAATTCTTTATAATATGTAGCAGAAATATTAACATTTTAAAGTTCCATCATTCTGTTTAAGGTGTCTTTTTCTTCAGCTACAAGAAACAATTTACAGCATAAGGATATGAGTAATACAATTTGTAACAGGCAAAGACTGAGGTGATGAAGCCCATGGCTGCTGTTCATTTGAGAACATGATGTCCTAGAATAAACACTTGAATTGCTAAGGCTACTTGCAAGTAAATGTTCACAAAATACTGGACTACAGTAGACGTAAGTTGGGTTAAGACTGGAACTTCATATAATCTCCAAGAATGGGATAGAATAAGAAGTGATATTAAGTAGGAAGAAAAAGAAGACAGTTATGAGAGAAGGACTTCCACCTGAGAATGGCTTAAAGATTAAAGGAACAGAGAGCTCTAGTGATCTTAAAGAGAAAATATTGACTAGACAAACAGAGAGAGAGAAGCAAAGAAGAAAATAGTACATAGAATAAGAAACCATGGGGCCGTGGTCCAAGAGTTGTAAAATTAGATCAATTTACTTACATAACACTTCACAGTGGGCAACATTTACTCTTAGAGGTTTAAAGTATGAATCGTTTCCTGTTGCTGTAATGCATGGTAATGTGGATGGTCTTTCTGCCTGGGTAATGAATTAGATTTTAACATAGATTGTACCATGAGCTCAAATGTGTCTTTTTTGGGGGGGGTACAGGTGGGAATAAACACCTGATTTGTTAATCTTTCCATCCAACTTGCAATGTCATTGAGAGTACCCTTTTATTGTTTCTTGAAAGGGCTTTTTGAGAAGCTTATTTTTAACAAATCATGAAATCATAATACTGATAATGGGGGAAACTCTTGGGGAACATTGATGAATTATTTGGAAAAACTCAAATGAGTTTCTAAGTCACTTTGTAATTAATGTGATGGTGTTGTAATCATAAATTGAATTGTTATATTCTAAATGATAATAATTCTTGACAAAGTGTGAGAATGAAAATCACTGCTACTAACCATCTTTGGATTGTTTCTCTTCTCTTAACCACTATATAAAGGATAATTGTTTGTGTGAAATGGCTCAAGATGAATACTGTGTCTTAAGGATAAGACTGTTGTGGTTGCCTTAGAGTTGCAGTGGGAAGGAGAAATCAAGTTAACAGTGGTCAGTTAGAAGAGGAATAAAGAAGATAGCTGGAGGTTCCTGTGCTCAATGTTGAGAAAGAAGTAAGTTTTCTAGTCCAAGAAAAATATGCTGGGAAAATTACTTGAAGATTGGAGCTATTGACTGGAAAAAACGGAAGATGGAAAGTTTTAAACTGGCAACAGAGCCAAGCGTCTAAAGTATGACCAGAAGAATCTTTAGAAAATATCGCCTGAAACATCTGAGTTACCCTAGAAATGTGATGCAGCAAGAACAATTTGAAGCAGAGGAAATCTGCTGTATAGTATCTATTCTGACTCTGAGTGTTTGATTGAAGGCTAGGGAAATCTAACCTGAAGAAAAGTTACTGAATATATTTAGCTATGGAAAATCCTTACATGTTAGAAATGGTAAATAAGCATGTTTCATTGTTCATTAAAGAGCTGAATTTTGTTTATCTTCTGAGCTCATTTCCATTGGTGGCTGCCATCATGTATATATACATATATTGGACTGAGATAACTCCCCCCCCCAAAAGTGTGGTTTATTTTGGTGAATATGATTGGGATTTGTGTGGTTCTCTAATTGTGAGGACTGACAGCTATTGAACAATGTAGCTGGCTGTTCTATAGGCCACACTCCAGATTTTCAAAAAAGTGGAAGAGCCTGTTTGGTTTTGAAACCATAGATTATGATGGCTTGTTGGCTTCCTTGCATGCAGTGAAATCCCATACTGTACTTTTGCTTGTTTGGATTGCATGAAGGAAGCATTCAGGGCAAATGTTTTCATATCTTACCATGTGGACAAACAACTTCAGAATGTATTTTTACCCCAAAATCAGGTGTGTTTGTTATATATAAAATAGAACAAATGAAAATATTTAAAAAGACAACCATAATGCATTATAATTTCAGTTAAGTTCTTTCCATTTTGTATTGCTATGTCCTGAATTACATTCAGCTCTGATGTTTTTTGGCTTGGGGAGCGTAATTGTTTTGTCGGAGTACACCATCAAAACCGCAAGACCAGTGGGACTGGATGAAGCACTGCACTTTGTGATTGGCTTAAAAAAATCTCCCAAACCCTTCTCATAGCCTACAGCAAGGTTTGATTCAATTTTGTTTTCTGCCCAAAGTGGGCAGGAAGGCAGCCTCGGAGCCTGCTGGGGTGGTGATGGTGAGAGGTAGAATGAAATATAGGATATCCTTCTCTGAAACCTATTCTCTTGGTCTGACTTGGAGGGAGAAATCTGTGTGATCTCCTGGCTTTTGGAATACTGCTCTGTGTTCTGTGTTTAAGCTGAACAGTGTGAGTCTTGAAGAACATGTTTTCATTATTCTTGATTTTTTTGTATTAATGTATCATGCATATATATATTTCCCCCCCTTTTTTTAAAAAAAATACAACAGGTTGCCTTTACCACCAGGAGCTTTTTTGGGTCTTTGGAAAAATGAAGAGCTTTATAAAGAATTATATTTCCAAAAATTTCCGGTAAGAAGTGATTAAATATATAATAATATACATTAACTATTTATTTAAAAATGAAATGCTGTATATTTTCCCTTTATTTTTGTTCAGTGGCCGTCCTTGCCTCCCTTTTACTCATTCTAAGAACATTTCCTGTTTGGCTTTTGAATCTTGAAACTTTTTCTTAGCTTTATGGAAAGGTTTAATTTTCAATCTTTAAACTTGCTGAATGGTTTAATATTAGCTAAAATATATCATCTTATATTAAAATATTTTACATGTTAAAAAATACTTCCACTGAACTCACACATGCATGTGCACACATACACACACGCACATTTAGGTATATTTAGAATAGTATAATGCAAGAGGTTCAATTATTCCAAATATGCATATTTTTCTTCCTCTTCCAAAAGTCTTTATCAGACTGGGAGACAATTCCCCCTGGAATGTACAGTGCTGATACCAAGATCGCATATAAGGTAAACAGCACAGTGGTCCTGTATGTTAGGTATTGGGTTTACGGAGAAGCCACTCTAGTGATGTGTCTCTGTCGACCTCCATGAACAGTACCGTGAAATCTAGGTTGGAATCTAGAATAGATGCTAGAGATCAGATGAGGTACTTCTTTGGTAATGCATTGATTTATTTAATTTAAATAAAGGAGCAAATATGTAGTACTGTATTGTGTCTAATATTCTGAAGCATTTTTCATTTATCTACTTTTCTTCCTAGGGTTATTATGATACTATGGATGCAGGGTATATGGATGAAGAAGGCTATCTATATGTCATGTCTCGCGTGGATGATGTGATAAATGTTGCAGGCCACAGAATTTCAGCAGGTGCAATTGAAGAGGTAAAGATAAACCAACCAGGAAAATATGGTAACAAATCAGAGAAAGGGTGGGGGGGATCTGCCTCAAGATCAAGGGGCAAAGTGTTTCCTGATGAGCTCCCATAGCAAAGTTCTTTCCATGAAGACTTAATGAGTGAGTGGAGCAACAAGGAGCAGTGCTCTGATCAGTGTTAGGCTGCTCCTCTTATATACTGAAAGCCATCATATTAATTTCTGACAATATTCTAGACTACTGCTTTATCAGAAACACTGAAGAAAAAATAAATGGTGGGGTGCCCTGACAGCATTGATCAGAATGCAGGAAAAAAATCAGTTTTAAAAACAGGGTAGAGAGGATGCATTGTTGATGGGCCTGGTGAGGGTTTAGTGAAGCATATCATCTGTCATTCAGTATTTAAAGAAGGCATGCTTTGATTTGAATTTAAGACAAATCAAGCAAAGAAAGTATGTTTTCATGCAAGCTACTTCATAATTTGATAATGGAAAAAGATTCATCCATGTGCTATAATGGGGAAGCCTTAAAATGCCTGCGGCACTTCACTTAGAGGCAGGCAGAATGGGATAAGAATAGCAAATCTAGTCTCTGTGAAGGAAATTAATCTGCCAAGGTTTAATGAGTCTTATTGTAAATATTTTTTTGAAATATTTCCTCACATCTTTTTAAAAATGAACTAGTAAACATGAGGAAAGGTCAGCACAACAGCCATCAAATTGTTCAGCAAAGAGTCTATAGAGAATTTCCATTGAATCAATTCAGAAAACGTTCTAGTCCAAATTAAAAATAAAAAATGTTTAAAACTGTTTTAAAATAAACTCATGGCAAGTGTGGTAGCCCAGAAAAGCATGACACTGAAGACAGCTCAGTAACTTACCATTGTGGACTGGTGTAGTTTTGTTGCCTCTGATCACTTGGCTTTCTGAGGTGCCAGAAAGAGTGCCAAAGCTGGTTGACCAGTTTGGTTGTCCTAGAAAAGATCTCAGCACTATGTGTAGGCTGGGCAGGACACATTGGCAAAGTTTGGCATTTCCTGAGCAGGACTTGGTTGCAGCTTTCATTGCAAGAAGTATTGGCAGGACAGAGCCCAGAAGTCCTATCATTCCATTAACACAAGAAAGAGCTAAATTAAGGTTTGTGGGCCTTGCTTAGCACATTAAAGAAGCTGAGAAGTGGGAAAGTAAATGAAACTCCACTAATGTTTGTGTTGCCAGCCAAAGGAGCTCTGTCAGAGAATTTAACAAAGTGATAAAACTGATTGGTCAGTTACTCATATTAATGTCAGAGAGTCACTTAATCCACCTTCCCTTCCCCCTACATTCTCCCTCTATAGAAGTGATATTGCATCAAATATTTTCTGTAGCGATTCCAGAAGCAGTGGATCATTATAGAACGTATGAAGTGCTTTACGAGGCTATAGAGTGGTTTACATCTGCATTTTGATTGAATGGATCAAAGCAGGTCTCTGCTTTAATTTGTGAATCTGGTTTGATGGAGTGATTTGATCAAAGCTTCAAACTGAAGGATCTTTCTGAAGCTTGGAGAGTGATCTAACTTGAAACCATGCATCTATTTCACTAAAATTAGGCAGACTTCATCCCCACAGACATGCTTGGAAATTACTGAAAAGTTACATTTCATGGTTTTCTGTGCTAATCACAGAATTCAGGACTTTTGATGATCTAAATTTTATCTTAGAGTTGAGGTCCAAGTGGAAATGAGCAGCCTATGATTCATTTTCAGTTAAATCAGGCTGTTTTAAAAATCAGATGTTGTGACTCCTGCACACTCCTATTGCTTACACATCAGAGCCAACCACCACATGAATTACCGTACCACAAAATCTATAACCACACATGGTTATAGCATTAGCATGCATTTACTGTTAATCTTAGCCAAGCATTATTAAATAAAACACTACATTTTCTTTCTTTCTTCAGTAGTGCTGTATCTTTTAGTATCTAGTTTTTAGGATAAAGAGCTATTAAGTTATATTAGTTAGTGATTATTTTGCTTACTGCTTCAAAAACAGTACATGTTTTTTTCTTGTCCTATTTTAAGTGTGGCATTAATGAACAGATGTAATGGTAGATTTTGCTGTTCTAGAGTACTATACATATTATTGCTTCAGTGGCAGACCACAAAATAAATGTAAGCCAAAGTACCCAATGCTGATGGTGAAAAAAATGTTAATACATTCTATCCTAGTTTATGCACACTGTCATTTTCTGGATATATAACAAATATATCCAGCTAGAATGTATAGACTGAAATATTTATTCTCAGTTATTTATTATTCAAGGTAATGATTCAAATGTTATGTTCTATGTGATATTTCAGTAACAGGCCACTGCATTTACATTTGGCATCAATCTAAGTTTTGAGAATCACTCACACCTGAATAAAGTATGGTGTAAATTCGCAGCAAGTGCATGCAGATCAGAACTGAAGCATTACATAATTTTAAAATTCTGCTCTTAGAAAACCAGTAGTACAGTATAATGAATAGATAGCATACATTACTAGAGATGCAGTGGCTGAATGCACATTAGCTTCTGACAAGCATAGTTTTTTCAGGCAATCTACATATTAAAGAGTTCCCATTAATGTTCGAAAGAGCCACCATGTAATATGGAAAGATCTCTATTGATACAGATTAAGGAATGGACCACGACTACTGGATTTTCAGATTGAGTTGGATCTAGAACGTTTGTTCTGTTTTAAATGATTCCCTGAGCCAATTTCTGCTCAGAATACTCCCACTAGTAAAAAGAACATTCACTAGTAGCTTGAACCTTCTGCTATTTCCTAGGCTACTTCTCCCATGTTCCTGAGAGACCCCAAACTGTATAGAGCAGATGTTCAGGGGTTTGTATACAAAGGAAGAGGTGACAAAGTTGGTCAGTTCCATCTGAACAATGGGAATGCTGTGCTGGTCACAAGCCTCTTGTCAATGGAGAGTTCCATCTTTCTGTCCACAGGATGCTGTTGCTGGACCCACCTTGTCATATAAGGAATAAACACGCAGTCTTAATATTTGTTTAACATAGCATTTTTATTCTGTCCCTTCCTTAGGCTGTCCTCTCCCATATGGCTGTGGCGGACTGTGCAGTTGTTGGCCAAGAGGATTCATTAAAGGGTCATGTTCCTCTGGCATTGTGTGTCCTGAGAAATGGTGAGACTCTGTTCATTCACAAAGCTGAATCTGTCTTTGGAGCTTTGAAGTGAAATTGATTTGTTTGAGATTGTTGTCTTGATTTGGCTGTGGCAGCCAGGCGAGTAACAAAATTGTACCCATACAAAGAAATAAGACCTCTTATGACAGCTGTGCTCTTATGTGCCTATCAGGAGTTGATATTGAAGAGAAAAAGCTTTTAGAAGAAATTGTTACACGAGTTAGAGAAGATATTGGTCCTGTGGCAGCATTTCGGAAAGCAGTATTTGTGAAACAGATACCAAAAACTCGTTCTGGCAAGATACCACGATCAGCTCTTTCTTCCCTTGTGAATGGGAAGCCATACAAGGTAACTGCTAGTAATATAGTATATAGTAAGGTATTTAGTGCAACAAACTTACTTAAAATTCGTAGTATGCGTAGTGCTGTTTGCAGTTTCCTAATCTTCACAGTCTACTCCTAAAGTTATGCTTAGAGGATTCACATACATGGATTTAATTAGAGTAATATTTAATATGTTGATTCTGCAAGGTTATAATGGGCAACTAGGATTACAAATTGTAACTAAACAAACTTGGAGTATTCAGTGAGATAAGGGTGATAATTTCCCTGAAATTCCATTATAGTATCTCCATTTCTATATGAAGGAAATATTTTGTTTGATGAGTTCCTATTCAAAAGCTATCCATTTTGCTATAAATGCAAGTTTCCGATTATCATAGTATCATTGTCTTTTACTGGGAAAATACTGAATTATATATGATTTTCACAAAAAAGAAAGCACATTAATTTGCCATGTTAAGAGTCTGATTTCCTCCTCTTGCTTACTTTTTTTTTTCCAGATAACTCCAACTATTGAGGATCCTGCTGCATTTAAACATGTAGAAGAAGTGCTAAAGACATTAAAGTAACATTTAACAACCACTAAAATGCAAGGAAGACCTGTAATACTGCATTTTGTTATGCCAGAAATATAAGTCCAAAAATGTTGATTTTATTTCTGTAAATGTGTTACTGAATCTTAGATCACAGTAACAACTAATAATTTTTTGGCAGGATAAATTTTATAATGACTTACTCAGATGGTTTAAAATCTTTCATGGTAATTAAAATTGCATGAGCAAATATTTGTAATATACATATCACACTTAAATACAGTGCAAAAGATGACATACATAATATAAATCCTGTTAAAATTAAGTTTGTTTCCTTCAGTGCCAGGATGAGAATTAATCTTAGACCTTAATGCTAGTTTTACTTGAAACAGCCGTGCTTGCACTGAGGCTTTTTAAGTAGCTCAACTTTGATGACAAGAAATTGTTGTAGTTTTAAGAAGACATACAGATTTAAACTTTGAGTAGTAAGGTAAAGAAAATTATTGCTAAGGCAGTTAATGATTGAGGCATTAGCAAGATCCTGTAATTCAGGCAATGGGTGCTGAATTAACTGAGGCTGTTCCTCAGCCATGTAAAGTTTTCATTTGCAGTTAAAGACAGGATACAGTGAATGCAAATGTTTCTGGGCTATGGTAAAGCTCGGAAGAAACTCTTGAGGACTGCGTGGGTAGAGATAACTACTTTATTCTCCACAAAAGTCACAGCCACTGGCTAACCCCATAATCCTTATTGACAAATTGTATTCCTATCTCCTGCTGTCTTTTTCCCTGACTACACATAACTTTCTCATAAGGTTCTATTTTCATGGGCAGCTGGGTTATCTGGCAGAGAAGCTAGGGAACAGAAAGAGCCAGGAAGAACTGGGCTGCTCCAGTATGTTCTGCCTGAGTGCTGAAGCAACTCAGTTGATTTAAAAAAAAATTGATTGTGCAATCTGGCCTATGATTCTACTTGGTAGAATCCTTTAAGAAATAGAGCGGGGTTTGCATGTCAGCCCTTCAAGTTAGTCCAGACCAGGAAACCAGAACCAAGAATATAATACTTAATACTACCTTTATTATAAGCTTTCAGTAACAGAATCTTGCAAGTCTGAAAGTGCTTTCCCCCTCCCCTGCCTTATGTTCCAGAGAACTAGAGAGGGTCAATTTTTTGATGCTTTTTCTATCACCCATTCCTGCTTTGGACTCAGATTTCTCTTATCAGACCACTGTCTAGGCTACGGCTCTTTCTCCTCTCTCTCAAGATTATTCTCATAGCGCATTACAGTGTCTTTGGCTGTGTAGTATACCACAAGCGATGAGTTTAGGAAGAAAAAAATCTCAGATTCAGAATGGCCAGATACTCATAGTAAACAGTAATTTGTAGCCACACATAATTTTCAGTTAGAAAGCAAACAAAAAAGGATCATAAAGCTCAGAAATATTGCCCCCTAGTGTTACAAAATTGAGATATGGTCTCTAAAATTGTGCTGCATTTTAAAAATATCCAAATTATTTTAAAACAGTGGTGTACCTTTTTATAAACAGACATTTTTGACTTTAACCACTCAGCAGTCATGGGGAATAATCTTTGTACCTGTTTGATCATCCTGCATCCACAGTGTTGTTTGTTATCTATGGTGTAATAATTTAATTATCAGTATAATGAATTTGGGTAAGGCTCCTTTCATATTATGGGGCGGGGGGAGCGGCTGGGGGAGTCAGTTGAGTTCTGTTGCTATAATACCTGAAAGTATTTCTTACACCTACCTGCACCCGTGTGCATAGCTTGAAATGTGAAAGGAGAGGAAATGTCACCAAAGGGTTTTTTTTGGGGGGGGGAGGGTTGTCAGGTGCGTTATTCCTTTAGGAGTAATCTGGTGGGGTCTTTCATATAATTATGGTACTTGGAAGAGATGAAGATAGCTTTTTCTTTCATTCTGACATCTTTTTCTCTATCCTTATGTTTCTTAAAAAGCTGCTAGAAAACAGATGGTGTTCATCAATTGTCTAAATTATTTGCTTGCAAAGAATTGTGAAATTGGGGAAGAACTGTGATATTAAGTTGAGGGTACATGTTCAACCTGCTTGTATGTAAGTCAGTAAAAAATGCTTCATTGAAAATAAATTTAGGGTAAATCTTTTCTCTATCATCCTACCTTTCTCCCTCCTATAATATAGCACATACTGAGAACTCTTGCAGCCCAATTCTAATTCTCTTATTGTGGAGTAAGTCCAGTTGCTTCCAGTGGAATTTACTGTTTAATTCTTATTGTTGCTGCAGTTCAGAAATACCTCCTGGAAATTTGCTTGCAATAGTTCCAAGTCATTTCTAAAATGTGTTACATTTTACTATTATGCATACTATATACATTTTTTTCAGTAGCACAAAAAGAAACTAGGGATTTCATTTTTTTTAACCTCCCTTTGAACTGATGTTGCTCAGAAGAGAAGAGCTATTATAGTTTGCAGTAGATAAAAAAAAAAAAAGGAGGGGGGAAGAATTCCTGATTTATTTAGATTGTACAATTCAGTACAATCTAGTACAATTTAGATTGCAACCTAAGGAATACCCTGTGATTAAAAGGAATGGCCTTTTTCAATGTTTCAGCAGCCCAAATTTTCTTATGTGTTAAGCAAAGGTGGGTTGGACAAGGTAGTTGTGGGCAAATACAGTAATCCTTTATTTCTGGGCAGAGGGGGGATGAGTTTTAATCCAAAGACAAGCTGGTCTGGCTTCCTATAACAAATAGACCCCTCCAATATGTTTTCCTAAGAAATAATGCTCTTCACTCAGCAGTCTAACGATGCAGAGAACTGAGTAGTGTTCTCTGAGGGGGGAAAAAGCGAGCCAGCATGAAAAAAAATGCCACACACAAAACACTTGGAACAGAAGTGTAGCGTGACCTACAGGTCAGACTGATATATTGTAGGTCATGGATTCCCCACTTCAGCTTTAGAAAATAAGTGTCCTCTTCTGTGCCTCCATAAGGAAGGATTATAAAAGGTAAGGCAGAGAACAAACTAAAAATAAACATATGTATTTTCTGTCCAGAAGATGTTCAACTGGAAAGACACTCTTTTACAGCACTGTACTGAAAAGAAACATTTTGCAATATAACTAGAATGAGTCCAAACTGATGTATGTCATAGTAGTCTTAACTTCATGTTATTGCTGTGTTGTTATAAACAAGCGGAGGACTCTGTAAGTGTTCCTTAAGGCTGTCATACTATAACCATTTCTGTATGGATGTCAGCTTAATTAAATGTAATGATTTATTTCCAAATAGTCATAATTAGGACTGCATTATTAATAAACTTAATTTGTTTGGATCCAGACCGTTTGTTAATATAAGGAGCAAAATAAAATGTGCTTGAAACTGATCAAAGTTAGGTATGTTCACAGCTTACAGAAATCTAGATGGAGATGAAAAGTCATTAAGTTAAACACTAGTAATTCAAATAGGGGTCAATTCATTTTGCTACAGGTAGTCCCCACTTTAAGAGCAAGTTC